TAAACAACCGCTAGTCCTCCAAACTATCAAATAATCTTAATGACTGTTATTTAATCTCTCTGGTAACTTGCAGGATCGACTAGATTGATCCTATGGTGTATTGGTCGTTTGGATAATTCTCATTGTAGAACTGATATTCATGGTTGGTATTTAGAATGTTGTGTAGGCGTTTAACTTACTTCGATTACCACGTTAAAGAGATCTAATGACATGATCAAGTAAAGACGTACGAAACTAAATTGCATGAATAGAGGTTCGATTGTAAAGACATGTAAAACTGCAAGAAACGAGTAAATAACTTTGAAGTATAAAAACGTGTAATGTAGAAGAGTTTCTGAAATGTAAAGGATTCGAAATAGCAAGAAAGTGTTTAAATGCAAGAAATCAGTAAATGACTCTGAATAAAAAGGTATTCGAATGACAAGAGCATGAAGATAAAAGCATGAAATGTATAAAAGTTTCTGAAATGTAAGGTATTCGAAATAGAAAGAAAACGTTTAAATGCAAGAAATCAGTAAATGACGCTGAATAAAAACACTTTAATATAAAGGCTTTTGAATGATATTGACATGAAGATAGAAGATAAACTGGAAATGATAAAGAGTTTTACTGAATCATAAATATTTGGTGTTATCATACGTACATTGTTCGAGCATTCGTTTCCCTAGCCATGTGGTATTTTGAATGTTTATTGAATTCTGTACAATAAATATGACACACGAAATCCTAACGCTAAGACTTCTATTTATACTACTTCGACCATAACAGTCTTGCCTATAAAATTTTGCCACGTTCAGCACATGCAGAGCACTGCCCCTTTCTAGCTTCCACGCGTCTTCGAATGCTCCAGCGCATATATTTCAAATTTCGAACATCCCGCTTGCGTTTGAATTTTAAATATTTTGGCACTCTTCGCTTCGAACTCATTTCTTGGACACAGTCTCGTTACCACTTCGAGACTTCTTTTGAATATATCTCCACAACTGTCACTCGAAGCTCCGAGCTTTGACATGTTCATTCGAAGAACTGCTTCTACCATTCCGAACCATGACATCTTGCTTTATTCCAACGAAACATCCAACTTGCTTCGTTTCGAACTGTATCATCAAAATCTTCAGCCAACACTACCTAATAGGTGTAGAAGGTAGCATTGGAGAAAAGTTTCATTTTATCTACCTCAGGAAGATTATTAAGGTAGACCAAATCCTCTTTAGATATATCAGCAACAACTTCCAGCTTTACACCATACAAATAAGGCTTATGATGGAAGTGCGACCAAGCCCAATATTTTAGAAACCTACCCTTACAAGTGAGAGGAGGTTCGGTAGGGCTAGAGAATAATGCCATGTAAGCCGTCAGAGTTCGGGGCCTCACTAGCACAAAGTGATCCAAAATAAGGCCCGAACAAGGAAATATGATGACGTAGCTCAATAATTTCATGATCTAAAATATTATACTGAGAAATGTGTATTACTGTGAACAGATTGAAGAACTGACAGTAGGAGGGTTTCCAAGACCTATGCTCGACCCAAAATTGGAACACATTTATGTAAGTCCAAAAATCCGACTAAATCTGGGAGGGGGCAACCTTCAGGTACTTCAACACTTCCACCTCAAATTAGAAAAAAGAAAACGGTAGATTTACCCTAGTAAACAAACACTCGTAAAAAGGGACAAAACACCCTTAAAAGGTGTTGCAAATCCTTATTTTCTGAACCCACCGGAAGGACCGACCAGTCAGAAGGACGGTCGACCGTGATGTTGGCCGCATTTATAGATGGATGATCACTTAAAACGGAGGGAGTATCCACTATCTCCGATTCTGCCCTATTGTATTTTCTTGTATCGGTCAATTCCACCAACATAACCCTTCTCAAGGACAACTCATCGGCATTAAAGATCTCTAAAATATATTTTATGGTGTATTTGAAATGAGAAAGGAGTCTTCTATTTCAAATTCTCTTTTAGAATTCACCCCGACCCCTCATCCTTCTTCTTGTTCCCCTAAAATGGTCGATCCAAAAAATGAAGCCTTCCACTAGAATAACAAATTAATTAACTTGTACAATAGAATGTAATTGATTAAGATACACTACTCGTTGAATGTTTATTTTTTTGAAGTGGCTATCAATTTTACCTCGATGAATCAAGTCACAACAAGACTCAGATTACTCATTCATTTGGGTTTTGTTCAAGAACGTAGCTTTCTATTCAATTCACCATTCATTGATCAATGCCCCTTCTGGGTGTTCCTTTTTTCATCCCCAACAGGTTTATGAGTTGTTACAATTGATACTAATCTTATGGCTATTAATTATAGGGAAATCCATGTTTGAACAGTGATTGGTGATTCTAAGAGGAAGAATTTGCGTATGTTAAAGTTACTCGTATCGTCACTTTTGTTGTATTTATTTTGTTGCTAAGTTTGAGTTTAAGTGTAAACCATGTAGCTTTAAATTTGCAGGAGCTGAAGGATTTTAAGATGAGGAAATAATTAAACCTCACACTTCTTAGAAAATGAAAAGCGAGCATCACTGAACTCAACTCGAGTTAGAAACCAGTGAAAACATTGAGAAGAATTGTCTAGAAACTTCGATAAAATTCTGGAATTATTAAATTTCTTATTCTTGATGTTATTTCTACTTCAATATGTGTAAAAGAAAACAAGAGTCTTGGGACTGCAACTTTGCAAGGTTATTACTTTTTGTTTCTATATACACCTTCTGGTCACTATTATAAGCAAATTTCAGTTTTTTGTTTCATTCAACGATTGATGTATCTGGATTATATATGGATTAGATACATCAACTATTTAATGAACCAAAAAAGTCATATTTGCTTATAATAGGGACGGGAGGGTGTATTAGATTTAAGAGAGAATGAAAATCTAAGTATCTATAGTATAGAGAAGTTGTAGCTCTGGATTTTTAGAGGTATAACTATACAAATTACGTAACAGAATAACGGAATCATAGAAAAGGTACCCTCCCACACCCTACCTGTCATGAAAGGTCAACAGGGTGACTGACATATGTGTTGCACTTGCAAAGTTTTAGGTTTTAGTGTTTTATACTAGTATGATAGCTCTACATAATTATAACCTTTAGAGACCTAGAGCTTTAATTTTTAAGTACTTTATGTTAATTATAAAGTACTTAATTGTAATATTGGATGAGGGCTTTAAGTTTCAAACTTTAGCTTGCTACTTCATTAGGCAAACGAGAATTTGCTCTAAGTGAACAAAATCATCCAATCTTTAAGTTTCAGGTATTTGGTGAGGGTTGAAATATGGCTTAAAATAAGTGTTTCAGATTCTACAAAGATAACTGTTTATTGTTGCGTGGTCTTTTCACACATAATTGGATTCAACTTCGACATGTATGACATATTTTTCACTCAGCATCCTGCCTCTATATATGAATCGTCTAGAGTTTTTGGGGCCAACTATGGTAGGATCTCTGCCAACAATTTGGATGAAGAATTGAAATGGTGAGTCCATATATTTCGACGGTTGATATTTTGTCTCTCATTTTCTGGCGATACTATTTACTTATGATGCTATATCTTGTGTAGGGATATTGATTTGGTACTTGAACAATGAGGTGGACATACTCTAAAGAGCGGCCACAGTCGATCTAATCCAATGCTGCAAGGTGTTGGCTAGCGTAGTGGCTGATCATTGGATTGCCTAAAAGCTCAACGGTTAAAAATTTATTGGAATGAGGTAGGACTATATTGGATAAGGATATCCCATCTTTCCATGTTCAAGTTCATATTACACTGAAAATGGTTTTTAACCGTTGGTGGTTTTGATTGTTTTGAATTTAAGGTTATCGGATTCTCTCTGCTGTTTCATTCCTTATATTAGACAACAAAATTGGTAAACATTTATTTATATGCCTTAGCAAATTAAGAAAAATGAAGTATAAAATAACAGTGCAAAGTCACAAACCCTACGCCTTCATTTGTTTCTCCGTGTTACTTTGCTCGGGTAAGCGCATTTAATACCCTAACGTAATCATGATAATTAGTGGGTCTTATTAATGTTTCTTGTTTGTAATTTCTTCGATTTCTTATGTTTGTTTGTTTTCCTTTGATTGTAGTTCACATATCTTGTGATTTTTTAAATAACGATGCTTAAACAGTTCCTTAGATTGTATAATTAATCTTTGTTGGTTTATTCGGAATGAAAAATAAGTGAAATAAATGTCAGATTCTCTGTGGGTTTCACTTTGATGATAACTGTTAATAAGGTTTTAATTGTGTTGTAGTCGTGACGCTATTGGTTGCGACGTCTTAATTGTGGTTATTGTCGTGTTGCGGCTGTTGTAGGCTAATTAAAAAACTTGACTTATGCTCAGTTTGGAGGCTACTAAAGTACTTGACTCCTTTCATATATCAGTATAAGTTACATATTCGATACAAGTTCTTTTGAATATCTTACGTAAACATACCCGTGAACATGAAGTATCCCACTATTTTTGTTTTAAAAAGCATCATCTAATTCTAATGTAAACATTTTCGTCTGTCAATTTCTTTGAATTGAGACTCAAGTATTTGCATCTTTTGTTCTCTGTCCAACTGCTGATGTCAATACGATATCTTTGTGTGAATATGTATGTGTCCATTTCAACGCGCGGCTCACTTTTTTCATTCTTGAGTTGATGCATATCTGTGCTAATAAAAGTTTGTTTGTATATTTTTTTCGGCAATTATGTTTGCTGCATAATTATAGTATTCTATTGAGGTTAGATTTTTATTCCAAAGTTGAAATAAACAATATCCAACATTCACTGTCTTCTTGTTTTATAAAGTAATGGGAAAGGAATAGACTGTTAATTTGGATATTTAAACTAGAGTTATATATTTATGAAATTTTATGATTTTGTGTTTCATTTGTGTATGTATCTTAGATGCACCTTATTACATTTTCAAGGATATGCATATAATCGTAATGGAAATGTATTGTATCTGATACTCGTATTATACTCAGATCTATCATGGAGTTTGACAAGTCCCGGTCAGTGAAACGGAGGAAGTACGATGGTCCAGCAGGCGGTGTCAAAGTGTTGGTTGTGGATGCTAACTTGGCATGCCAAGCAATTGTATCAAAAATGCTTCTTTCACTTGGATATGAAGGTAATTGGCACTTAATCTGGAAGCTAAAAGTTATTTTTAATATTTATATGTATGGCTAATATGCTGCTTCTCAACTTCACTCAGATTTCAGTTCAACCTTAAAGTTTATGACTCGCGATTTATAATGTAGTTTATTTTGGATTTGTTTATTCTTAAAAAGTTTATCTCAACATTCTTCCACTTCTAGTTGTGACTGCTGCACTAGCTTCCGACGCATTATCCATTATTTGGGATAAGAAGAATGAGATTAACCTTATGCTTGTGGAGGCTCAGCTACCAGACATGGAAATACATGAGTTCATGGAGAAAGTGAAAGAAAGTGCTAATCTTCCATGTTTCAGTAAGTTCTAAGATTAGCTTTAGTTTTCTATTTACTCAGGAGCCTCTTATGCCAGTCACGAGGTCAATCATTAACTGACAGTAACTATTTGTTGCATCTGTAGTTATGACTGCTTACGATGATGACATTCCATCCATTTCAAGAGCACTAAGTACCGGAGCTAAATTGTGTTTTAGAAAGCCGGTTCTTCTTTTTGATCTTCAGGAGCTGTGGCGGTTTGCAGTGTGGAACAGAATTGAAACAATGTTCAGTGAAGAAGAACTTCGCTTCGGGCGGCGTCAGTCAGAGATGATTACGGTTAACAAGGGTCTCGAGTCCCAATCATCCATCAATACAGAAGAGTCTCTCCAATATGCAAATGGCAAGATACACGAATCTCCTAATGAAGATATGAGATTACTCCCGAAAAAGAGAAGGCGTACCTGGACTGATGACTTACATAGGAAGTTCTTGGATGCTGTTGAAACAGCAGGAATCAACGGTGAGTTTGAACTCGCGTATTATTTATTAATTTATGCGTTAGCTACTAGCTACACCTAAAAATAATGGTTAATGTTTTTTTTCTTGTATGAAGCTCGTCCGAAGGTGATATTCGAGCTTATGGATGTGGAAGGACTTACAAAAGAGAGCGTTGCAAACTATTTACAGGTCTGTTCCTTGTAATGGGGCATATGCATTATCTTGTGCAACTCTCCTTTGTATTTTTTATACGATATTGTTTCCGTGTTATCACATGCTATTCTAACCACAGCCTGATAATATATTCGACTGTTTCAGAAATATCGTCAATCTATGAAAATACGAGCTAGTGCTATGGCGCAGCATGTGAATGGATACGTGTCTCTGACTAAGAAACGAGGAAAAGGCCCTCTATACTCTGAGAATCAAGATGCGACTAGCAATCCTTCTATTCTCAGTAATGGGACGCCTGTGCAAGCTTCTGATTCTTCTGCACCATATGCTTCCCTGGAAAGCTCAAATTATCAGGAGTCACCTTTCGATCAAAGCCAACTGTACCCGCCATTGAAACAGCAACGTGTTGGTAGGTTTATAAACTGTGTTACTAGTGATGCATCTGAAAAAATCAGCCGGGTTGTAAATATTGCTGATGGAAAAGTTTATAATGCAGAGAAACAATGGGATTTTCGAACACTGCTGGCTTTTGACATGAACGATCAATTTTACCCGGCACTTCCTATTGCTCTACTACCGCCAGAAAAAGATGAAAAGATTGACGAAATTTTTTATTCAAAACAGCTGTTTACTGATGAGGATTTGAATATGTGGTTGTCAACAATTCCAGGTATGAACTGTGAACATGCCAGTAATATATTTATGTGTATTCTCGAACCGCAAGCACGAGTACGTCAACATTTTCTTCTTGTTCATATGACCGTTTAAGCCTATTCTCCTTTTTATACTAATCTTTTATGCTGTTGTTATTTACTTTTAGTAAAAAGTTCTAATGAGGCCACTTTGATTTGGCAGACAAGGTGGATGATGATGATAATGATGCTGCTGCTTTTGCTTGATGCTGTGGAAGGCTGGCAAAAGAATAAGGATTTAATATGTATCGCAATAACACTATTTTTTCTGGCACTTTTTGCATTGAGAAATTGATTTAAGTTATAATTCGTAATTGCTTGTTTTCATTTAAGTTGTTTCATATGGAACTTGAATAAGTACAAGTGCAACAGCAGCAATAATATTTTGTTTGCTTATATCTTGTGAAACTTAAACAGGAGAATAACATTATGTTAATAATATACACATTCTGATTCTACATCTATGGTGTTCTTGGCCTACAACTATGGTTGTTATGATCATATGTTTGTGCTTCCTATTAGAAAGTGTGTTATGGAGTTGTTAATGTTCCGTTTATGTAACTTTTGTTGCTTATCAATGGGTATTGTGAAGGGGAAATTTAGGTGCATGTTTTACTTTTCTAAGTTAGTTTTGCTATGTAAAAAGTCAAGATAAAAGGAAAGGATTGTGTTACACAGTCGACAATTAACGTAAAATTTTGTCGAATTTCTATGACATGGATCAACAATGAAATATGTGGATGATAGGTCGTTGCCTGAAAGCAACATGCTGACATGGATCAACTATGAAATAATGTGAATGATAGATCGTTTCTTGTAAGCAACGCGTTGTATGACTTGAGTACAATGTCAAAAGAGTAAAGGTTATTGCATCGCTACCTGAATGCAGTGAAAAATAAGCAATGCTTCCGATATTTTCGTGTGTGGGTAAAGAAGTTAGTTAATGAAAGTAGCATTTGTTTTGGATCATAAAATATAGACACACTTATTGAAAAATCTATAGAAATAGTGGACACTATGGTTATGAGCTATGGTTAGGAGGAAGATCAATTTCATGTGTCAACAAGAAACTTAATGGACAAATGAAAAGATGGAAAAGTTAGACAACTCTGGATTTAAGCTTTGGTACACCACCGAAAAAGATAGACAAAAAAATGGGGTGATGATTATTATGGACAAGGAGTGGAAGAAGGATATGGTGGAAGAATGATATTGTGGACAAGACATCTTTAATATTATTAGTACTTACAGATCTCAAATTGAGTTAACAAAATACCATAAGATAAAATTTTGGGATGATTTAAATGGACACGTATGGAGCATAACAAGAAGCTTTGAGAGTGTGCATGGAGGTTTATGGTCTCGAGGAGGTAAATGTGGAGCGTAAATCCATCTCGGAGTTTTTTTTCCCGACTTGTGATCTTACTATAGCTAATACCTGATTTAGGAAAAGAGATTAATATCTTATCACATATAAGAGTGGAGTGACATATTCTCAAAGGAATTTCTTTCTTATTAGGAAGTCAAATAGGAAGATTTACTTAGAATGTAAATTTATTCAAGGAGAGAGCTGGACTACCCAGCATAGAGTATTTATTATGGAAGTAAGAATCAAAAGGAGAGCAAAGAGAAGAAGTCACATAGGTGCGCCACATATTAATTGGTGGCATTTGAAGGGGAGGTGTAATACGGCTGAAGAATTGACTTTTTTGAATTTTATCCAAATGTGCGGATAACAAGAGTCGTCACCGACTTTTCTTTTATCCAATATTAGGAAAGAGTGAAAAGAACAGGAAAGACCTTGATAAATTTTGAGTTCGGGGGGTAAGTTATGAAAAGGGAAGGTGTTAGCACCATTTTCATTCGTAGTTATCTACGGGCTCTTAATCGCTAGCTCACTTTTGAAAATTTATTTTATGTGTGTGATTTGTTTGAAAATATTTTGAAAAGCTAACTTTGTAATGATTCTTGTATCAGTCCTCAAGAACGCGTACAAAGTGTTTGAAAATATTTTAAAAATGTGATGTGAGAAAAAATGTTTATTTAGAAAACATTGTGAGCGAACGATTAACAGTTCTTACCCACTCAAGATCGTTCTTGTTATTTTCTTTCACCATTAGAGATAGTGCTATCCATACCATTAGTTGGTAGGTAGCCACATCTATTAGATGTGAAAGGATAAGAGAAAGGTCGTCGAATGGTCATTGAAGGCAACACACAGAGATACTCTAGCAATTCATCAGGGGGACTAGATCATTTTCGTAGGCAACATCGAAGGGTCATCAATGGACTATGATCTTTATTCCAAGGGACTTTGTTAAAGTATCTCTATTTTAGAGGGACATGACCATTTTTCCGAATGCAACAAAGAGAGGTTACCCTAGAGGTGAGAGGTGTGAATAATGTGTTCAGTTCAATTATTTATCTGGTATTAGGGTTATTTATCTATTGCTTTTATCTTTCTATACATGCCTAGTTACTAACAGTATAATATACAGAAAAGTAAAGGTGCGTAAAGTAAATCCTAAGCTATTACAAGGCTCTGGGACAGTTACATAAGAAGATCCCGAAAATAATGTGCGGAAATTAAACCCTAGACTATTACATCCCGTAAGCAGTTAGATAATAGAAAAAATATGGAAAGATAAAGCTAAACTGTTACAGGAAAAACGTCGTGCGACCTATACAATTCCTCTAAGAATTTAAATGAAAAAAAAAACATTTTAAAAATGTTTGAATGATATTTTTATGAAATTCATTTAATAATAATTAAAAACCTAAGTTTAACTAATTTTAATTAATAAAAAAACCTAAAGTCTAATTAATTTTAATTTCAAGAAAATACTAATTAACCTAATTAATTTATAAATAAAAATATCAAAATTAATTATTGATTAAGAAACTTAAACCTAATTTATTAGGATTTTAAGAAAAATATTAAAGTTGATTAATAGTTAATTAAGAAAAATAATTAGGGTTAGTGATTAAAAGAAAAAGAAAATAGGTTAAAAGAAAAAGAAAATATAAAACTGCATGGGGGTGGGTGTTGAACCCACGTCCTTCAACATTCTGCCTCGCCTTGTTTACCACTGCGCCATTTGTTTGTTGGTGATAGAGAACATGCAGCGTATATTATATTTGAAACCTGCAGGAATTGTGAAAATAACAAAAAAATTGCAAAAGGCAGGGATCGAACCCACGCCCTTGTATTACAATGTCTTAGCCTACACGTTCTTGTCACTAGGGTGGTTACTTCATCCATTAACAAAACAAAACAAAATAAAATAAATATAAAATAAACAAAACCAGATGGACCAGAGAAGCGCCAGAGTCCTAGCTCCAGTCGTCTTCTCTGGTGAGTGCGTTTTATTAACCTGTAAAGCAGGACGTGTTAGTGATCAAAGAAGACCATACCCCCTAATTTGAGGGTTGCAAACTCAATGGTGGCCTTAGTTTTGGCTGAATCGTCCTGCACAGGGAGATATAATCAAAATAATCTAAAACGACATAAACATGGTGATGCATGATTCTGGCATTATAGGATTCATGCGATGGTTCATACATGTCCTATTACATCTCAAGAACACATTAGCATGGTTAGTTTCAATCAAAACATCATAAAAAATAAAATATGAATTTGGAAAAAATCATGAAACTGACAATGCATGTAGTGCATGTTTCAAGCCTCTTTGATCATCGAGAACGATCAAGTCTTATTCTATAACACCTCAGGGATTGATTAGAACGGTTGGTTTGCTTTGAAAGTGGTTGGAAATAGGATTGCAAGTTTGCCCTAGTTTGACAAAATTTGAGATTTTTGGTGAGTGTTCTTGCAAGGTTTTTTTCGTATCCTTGTTGTCTGAACATGAAGGATATATATAGGAGAAGATTAGGTTAAGGAGAATGAGCTTGGACCTCTTTGTAGAACACTTTGATTCTTCTTTGAAAATAGAATTGGAATAAGACAAAATATGAATATTTTTTCTACCAATGAACTCACACGATTTATAGCATGTCCTCGACCCTCCAAAATATTTAAAACAAAAGCCTTTTAAGCCTTATACCTCCACTTACTATTTATTTGATTTAATTTGCATTTACATGAATAAAAATTCAAATAAAAGAAATGAAAATCATAAAAAATATAAGAGTGGTTTTGAGGGTCCTTTAATATGTCATGAACATGTTTGAACTCAAAAAATTAGGCCCATTAGTCCAAAAGCCTAAAATAGTTCAATTGAGGTTTCATGCAATTTCACAAAATTACCTAACTTGTGCAACTCATAACTTGCTCAATTTTTGTCATATGAAGATTATCTTGGACTTTTTAGAAAGCTCAAGATGTCCGCTACAACTCTCATGTTGATCATTTTCCCATTTGAACAATTTATCTTGATGTAAATTGCTTTGACAAAAAGTGTCTTTTGTTGACTTTTAAAATGACCTATAATGTCTTGGCTCATATCTCTCAAATGATGCATTTTTTGACCTTGAGCTTAGAGAGACAAAGTTGTAGATAATTGAATTTGCTTCAAAATGAGCTATGGTTGAGAATTTTCTGATGAAACATGGGAAAGTTATGGTTGGTCAAAGTTCAGTTGACTTCTCATAAAGAAAACCCTAATTTAGCAACTTTTGACTTTTGATGAATCTTGAGTTTTCTTGATGATTTATGATTAACCCTTGATCAAATGATGAATGTAAGTTCAAAATGCTGATGTTGACCAAAAATCTTGGAGATTGACTGTATGTTGACCATAATTGACTTTTTTATCCAATACAGTTAATTTTCAATCATCTGAACAATTGATTGAGAAAACTTGTGCCGTAGGGCTTGAAACTTGGCATGAGGGTTCTTTGAAGCATACGAAAAACCATGGAATTCACTTGAGGCATTATAAGTCCCATTTACCTTGAGAAAACTAAAACCCTAGTTGTAGGTCAATGCTTAGGAGGAGAGTTTGTCTGATCAATCCTTGAATAATCTTGAGTACCTGAGGACCTTAGGAGCAATGAGGAGATCTTTTGAAATGGGAGGAACAATTTTAAGGTACAACACCTGCCCCTGTTCAATTTTCTTAAACCTGAGGAGTTAGATTGGCATGCTCACCATTCGGGACCTGAAGGTAGAAGAGGATTGAACACTTAAGTGCCCAGAAATTTGCACTCATATATGCACAAAGTAAAGCTTATTGGCTGATTGTATT